AAGTATTGTAGTGTAGGTGTTGATTAAGTTTTCTGTTGAAGCATGTTACTGTTTTGTTATTTTACTGTAGCAGTAACTATACCAGTTGTGACTTCAGCTTTATGTAGTTGGTTCTTGGCGAGAACAAAAATAATGGTTTACATCAATAGATTTTCTGTAGTGTAGTGTATATATTTTGATATCATGTGAAAATTGTTTTTCTTTTGCTTACTTAGCTCTAAGATGTTTTATATTTTTGCTGAATTCTAGTTTTTAAATTGCTAGATTTTGTGATTTTTACAGTATTGTTAAATTTGCATAGTGATTATTTCATGGATATATGGTAGGAAGTAATGATTGACTGTAGACATTAAGAACAAAATAGTAAATTGCCATTGACATTTGAAGGACAGATGCAGGCAATATGTCCTCAAAATATTGTTATTTTGTTTCCATTTTCAAAAACAATGGAATCACAATTATAGTCTAAAACTGATTTGGCAGGGTAGTTCTTCTACAGTATGAAACAAGATTATGTAGAAAAGGTTACAGTGATTTGTCATTTTCTTTTGTGAAACAGAAACACAGAAGTACAAAAGTAGTGTTTTTTAATTGTGGGTGTCTGAACATAATTGGTGATAGATTACTAATTCAATTTGGTAAACAAATGTATCTTTAAAAGATACAGTAGCCAAAAGTACGAAGTAGATTGTTAAAGTAATTGATGGTTTTGTTGATACAGATCTTTTGGTAAGTTTGTTAGAGGGTTATTGCTATTCAAAAGAAGTTTAGGTAAACATATATTATGGGAAGTGCTTCGGCTGTAATGTTTAGTGTTGATAGACTGTTTATTTGATTTTGATGATTCTCTTAGTTTCATTTTTGTGTTATTTTTTTAATGTATTTCAAATGGTGGTCTTTGTCCAAAGATAGGCCCTAAGTATATAACATGAATTAATCTACTCCTATAGGATGCGAGACAAATTCAAGATTCTTCTTATGGAGACTGGATATGTTACTCCAGGCAAGAGGCTTGATGAAGTGCGTGTCCTGTTTATGGGTAGAGAAAGCTTTGACTCCCTATCAGAACATGATAGACAATTTATTTATGAACAACACCAAAAGGACATTACTGAAAAAGCAAGACAAAATTTCCATGTAAGTGTTGTCTGGTTTTGTTTTTTCCACTCACTTTAAGAGTTATTGTTAGAGTTTTATATCACCTTATTAGTATTACTTTCTCCTTTGAATATGCTTCAAGAGGCAGAAATTTTCTCCCTTTGCCATAGTAAGGTTTGTTATTAACCTGGTGGTGCTTGGAAAGTCCTCAAGATTATTTTATTGCCTTTTCAGGAGTTGTTATTAGAGCAGGCTGAACTTTTTTACCATGTGAAGAGTCTTGCACCTACGGGCACTATTACTCAAGAAGACATTCGTGAAATTACTCAAACGTTACAAGAAGACAGCAGGTATACTTTTGTCCCTTTTGGTATTTATTTTACATAGTTGCTTGTGTAAGAGCTTTGTAATTTTCATATGACTTTGATTAACTGATTAATTTACTGATTATTTTTAGGGTCAGTTAATGTTTCTCTTTGTGTTTTCTTGTTTTTCAGATACAAAGCTTTAGACAGGTTAGAGAGTGAGAGAACTTTACTGCTACTCCAACACCTAGGTTTTGTCCATTGTCCGAAAAAGGAACACTGTCCATCCTTCCCGAACTGTATGGACTGCCTGATTGAGAAGATTATTGCCAACAAAGCAGCCAGGTATTCTGAGATGATGCATTTCTCTCCTTTAACTTCTCGTCTTTTTTCTTGTCCTTGCTTTTAGCCAGTATTTGTTCTTTTTCTGCTCTTTGCCTCCTCTTTCCTTTCTCGCTAGTTTCCTCCTTCCTCTTTCCTGCTGGCTCTTGTTTTCTTTCCTCTTCCTTTGTTCTTTCTCTTTTCTTCCCTTATTGTCCCCTCTCCTCCTTTCCTCTCTCCCTCCCTTTCTGTTCCTCCTCCTTCCTCTCTCCTCCTTCTCCTCCTATCTCCTTCTCCTTCTCTCTCCTCCTCCTCCTCCTCCTCTCCTCTCCTCTCCTCCTCCTCCTCTCCTCTCTTCCTCTTCTCCTCCTCTCCCCTTCCTCCTTCTCTTCTCCTTACTTGCTCCCTCCTCCTCTCTCCCTCCTCCTCTCCAATCTCCTCATACCTCCTCCTCTCCTCCCTCCTCTCCTTCCTCTCCTTCCTCCTTCCTCCATATCCTTCTCTCCTTCCTCCTCCTTCTCCTTCTCTTCTCTTTCCTGTCCCTTTTTTGAATTACCTGAGTTGTTACACCTCCTTTCTCCTCCTCCTTCTCCTCCTTTCTTCCTCTTCCTCTTCCTCTTCCTCTTCCTCTTCCTCATCGTCCCTTTTTGAATTACACTGAGTTGTTACACCTTTTTCTTTTTCTCACTAGCATTAATAATTGTGTTATTTTATGGCATTCCCTCTTCTTTGATTCCAGTAACAGTCGTCCAGGTTCAGGTACATGGAGTGGGAAGAATCTAGATTATGGCGTACGTATGGATTCTCAAGTGAATTTGGTTCTTCTTGGCAACCACGGCCTAGCAGAAGATCTTCAGAATGTTATTCGGGTCAGTGACTGTCCTGCTCAACCCGATTATTAGATCCAATGATAATGGAATTCCTGTACTTTCTTTTAAGTGAAATGTTTGATAATGATCCTTTTTTGTCCACATTTTTTATTTGCTGGAGAGATGTATTTTCATGTTTACAGTGATACTGTTGCCAAAGTTTGTTACTGTTTGAGCTAAATTTTAAAACTAGGTGATGATTAATACGGAAAGAAAGAATAGAGAAAAAAAAGATGTATGCATGCTTGCATGCAAGCATGTACATGTGTGTTTGCATGTGAGTGGGTTTGCCTCCAACTGAAGGAGAAGGATGCTAAAGATATAAGTAAACACATTTTACTATTTTTGCCTCTGGTTTGCAGTCTGTTTGTGAAGATGATGAATTTGAACTCGACAATCAGATCTTCTCCTTAGACTACCGCAGCATAGATGGGGATGTTTCACTGCCACAAAACTCCTTCAAGACCCCAGAATTCTCTCCACATGGTAAGTGCTACCTTTACTGTAATTTTGTTGCAACGTGTAAATTGAGAAGTCCTTTGCTTGATGGACTCTTCTTTACACTAAAGGTTGCTCACTTCCCTCTTGAAAGGAAGAAAGAAAATCATTGTACATAGGAACTCCAGGAGATTGAAATACAACATGGTTTAATCATTCATTCACTTATTTTTAAAGGGAAGAACATACTAAGATTTTTCTTAAAGACAATTGAGTTACCAATTTGTATGACCAGTTTTTAGGAACTATATTCTGTTCATAAAAGAAAAAAAGATATTGCTGTCTTTAAAGATTTCAGTCCTGCTTGAGAATGATGGTATATTTTAGACATCCTTGATGTGTTATAAAACCCTGACCCACTGGAATCTGATGCTGTACTAGGATACCATGCTTAGTCACAGCAGATAGTGCAAATGCTAGAAGATAAGATTCTGTTTTGTGGCTTAGTGTAAATCATTGAAATAGATTATTCTAAAAAGTTGGTATTTCCCTTTTATTGTTGCTTTCTGCACTGTCTATGGATCATCACAGATGGTATATATATTAGTATATCTGCTTTTATGTAAATAGAATTCTCATATATACTCTGCAGAGGAGAGGGAAACACACAGGAGCTGTATGGGTGCCATTGCTATCATTAACACAATGTTCCTTGCTTTATTACACCTTTGATATAGCTGGAAATATATTGTACTATTTCATGAAACAAGTTTTTTCATTCAGTTTGTATTGTCTGCAGGTGTTGTATGTGCATACAGTAATGAGGCATCATTGGAATATGTTAGAGAATCATTAGAAAAGTCACTCTTAACGCAACTGGAAAGTGAGGAATCCACTCCAACCCCTCCCATCACCGTCCTATTTGCTCCTGACCCGGACCTGGACCACAATGCAGCACAGCACCTGCATGACGAGGGAGCAAAGTTGGCTGACAGGTGAGAACATGTTAGATTTTGTGTCCCATTGTTGTCTGGTGCCAATGTTTGTATTAATGATAATGATGATGATAATGTTGTTAGTGATAATGTTCATGATAATGTTCATGATGATGATGAAGATATGGATATCACATAGAAGAGATTAGATGTCTGTGAATGTCTGCTAGCTTTAGATACATAATTTTGAATTTTGCTGATAGTGTTCTAGCTTTATGTCTGTGCATCTTAGTTTTATGTTGCATTGTGTAATAATTTGAGCTTTAAAGTGAATTCTTGTGTATGCCCAATTTGTGCAATGAATGTCAAATCAGCTTACTAGAATGCTAATTGCTGAAGTTTTTCTTAACCGACTTCAGATATATGTGAACTAAATGGCTAACCCTAATGCTATCCTAAAACACAGTCCCCCTGGCAGCTTGCAATGCACTTTCCTGGACGTTGGTCTGAGTGTTGGGGGCGGCGAAGGGCGGAGGTTCGACAGCAGTTTGGTCACGAAGGCGCTGCGCTCCTTAATCACCAGCATACAGCATCGCAATCACTCTCTCAATATCTTCAATTCTGCAACATTACCCAGAGATTCACAGCCAGATATCAGGTGAGAAATAACTTTTATCAAGAAATGAAGTTTATCTTCCTTGATGAATATATAAAGTGTTACTACTCACCATAAACACATTGAATATATATAATGCATTAATATATATATTGAATGAATATACAGATTGGGATTTATTCTAGATATTAATGGATATCATTTACAGAATCATAATGTGCATGTTATGTGGAGACCCTTACTCAGTGGAGAATGTGTTGAGCCCACTACTAAGTCACCAGTGGTGTATTGTAACTGGTGAACAATCCATCTCCCTACAAACATTCCTAGGTAAGTGATTTATGGATTTTATCCTTTGTGTATTTGATCACTTGAAAAAGTTTTTTTCTTTAATTAGATGTTTCTTACCCTTGAAGTTTCCATTTGTCAAAGTTTGGTTGTTTATTGCCAGATAGCCTTTAAAGGTAGGCCTGAATATATAGCTTTTCAGAACAGGTGTAAAGATGAGAATTGTTACATTCTTACTGTCACTGATAAATGAGTACCCAAATGAACATGCTTTGACAGATGACTGCAAGCGACGTGTGGAGGTAATAGTGTCCTCCTACCATGGTGCCAATGCTTTCCGGGAAGAGTTGGTACATGGTTTCATCCTTGTGTACTCCACCAAGCGCAAGGCTTCACTAGCTACACTCAGGGCATTTTCTGCAAACATTCCCAATCTTCCTATCCAGGTACAGGCAGTTTTCTACTGGTGAAAATTTAATTTCTTAGTTTTGTTGTTTGCATTACCAGGAATGGCCTTTTTGGCTCAAGTAATATATACATTTATATATAATGTTTTAAAATTTGTTCACCAAAAAAAAAAAAAAAATATGCTAACTTTTTTCACACTCTAGATTCTGGCAATGACTGACACGAGCAGTGCTTCTGCATTTTTTGGATCTGATATTTCACAACAACTGATTACTGAGGGTAATGCCATAGCTGACAGACTACAGGCACATTTTATGACATCAACTGCAACTTGTCAGCAAAAGAGTAAGTATTTGTATTTGAGTAATTATAGATAACATTGTGTTTTTGGTCATCATTTTGAGCATTATGTTTCAAGTTAGGGCTTATGCCTTTAAAGATTAAAGCCTATTTATTTTTTAGAATAAGGATTCATGTAAAAATAATTTCTCGGTAAGAATGGTAAATAAGATATTTGTGTTTGTCAGTTCACAAAAAACACACATTATCCCATTTGATCCAGGTGCCTTTCTGCTTACATTTCAACCAAAATTGAGCATTAGGCTTATGTTAGTGGCAACCCTCTAGGGGATGGTTTGTAAGCCCAGACCTCAAGAACACTCGTGTGTAGTATAATGACTCCTTTCCCCCACTTTACATTTTTTTTTTTTTTTTTTTTTTGCCATTTTCCAAGTCTATATTTATCCATGTTATTTGTTATGCTGCATTAAGGTTATGATATACTGTTTTCATTGAGCAGACTTTATTATTTCTCCAGGTAGTCTACAACTCTTGAGTAGTATCCATAACAATAAGTAATATTGTATTATTTGTATCATCATTCAGTTTTCTAACACAGCCTGCTCTGCCAATCATGATGAGCAGGAATAGAGAATAGAGACAGTGTCCTCTCGAGAGCTGACACTCTTCCAGCCATGGATTGTAGATATTACATTCCACTCTTGTTTACCAGTGAATGCCTAAATGCCCACTGAGTCTAATCTTCCTCTAAGAGCTTTGTGCATTTATGGAGAATCATTCCCTTCATCCTGGCCCTCAGCTGAATTTTTTATGACAGGACATTCCCATCACTTTGGCCCTCTGCCCAATTTTTCCATGATGGCATATTCCTGTCACGTGGCATCCTGCCAAATTTTTGCTTGACTTGATGGTCATGTCACCTGGATCCAATGAGTTAACAATGATAAAAGAAAAATCCCAATAGAATATTTTGCTTTAGATGTTAATTCACAAAATTTTACTTCCTCTCTGCGCAGCTGCTTTCTACACGCCATTCTTTAAGGAGGTGTGGGACAAGAAACCAGAAATTGAGCAGGCCTTCAACATGGAGGATCCCTCTGGCCTTGATGACTCTGGGGAAGGCACGCTGGAGCGTCCCCCCCATCACCACCACAGGAGCATCACGTTGCCACCACCAAGACGAAGCCTCCCGCCCAGATCCCAGTCTGCGGAAGGGTGGGTCGAGTGCGTTACGTTTGGGTTATTGTTCTTGGGAGAGACTGAGCATTTGAAGTTGTCATATTGTTATTATTTTTTTTCATTGTTTTTTTACCCATTATCAGGTTAATTTTCCGTGTTGTTATAGGAGCAGTTCAGAGATCTACGAGACCGTGCCAACAGATGTTTCTTTAGGGGATGACCTGGATGAGCCTCTATCACCAGTATTCCCAGATGACCAGCCTCTCACACCTTCGGACGACTCGGACATCTACTCTCACATTGATAACGACGAAGAGGAGCACCTCATGAAACCCTCGCAACTGAAGAAGCATCAGAGATTTCAGCAAGGTAAGATTTTCAGTACTTCACACCATTTTGTTTCCCCCTATTAAGAATTTTATAGAATGTTTGTGTGTGGTTGTCAAAAAAGGAGGAGCTGCCATGTCATTATTTTTATTTTACTTTTTTTTCATATAAAAGAGCAACAGGCAATATGTTGTGAATTTTCAGGTTGCATTGGCTTTTAATAGCTATTTTATATATATATATATTCATTTTACTCGTTTTCTTTACTTGCCTTCAAAATTTTTGAATAATGGATGAAAATAGGGGCTTTGTGTTTTTTTTGTATGCTTTCAGGTTAAAAAAGAAAGAAAGAAAAAAGATTGTTTTCAGGAACTTGGTGTGTAATGTGCTTTGTGTTCGTACTCTTACAAGCAAGCAGGTGTATCGTCATGTACATTTTATATAGGAAAAGAATAGAGTTAATTGGCATTTTTCCCCTCCCTTTTTATAGAATGATAGAAGGATAGAGGAGTGATAGATGTGACTATGCAATTGTCATACAGTAGGTACCTCAAAAGAGTCTGTGTACATAGATAGACTAAAAAGCTTTCTGAGATCTTACAGTGATCGAGGTGAAACAGTAAGCAGCCAGTGAGTGAAGAATAATTTTCTATTTGTTCCGTATTATTAGAGTGCTTATTGAATAGATGGCTCACATAAATGTCCATTTATTTATTTAAATATTTAGTGCTGTAAACTGCTTATGATTTTACATATATTTTTGACTGTCGTGTATGTGTAAACAGGTTTATGCAGTTTTTTCCCCACTCCTTTTTCTTTCTTATAAGTAAATGTGATTGTGTGTGTGAATGTGACTATGTATGTGTGTGTGTTTGTGCATTGTGTGTATGTGTTCATAGTTATATGCAAGTGTGGGTGTTTTCATCTTTGTTACTTTGTCTCTTTCTCTTTCTCTCTCATCCTCAGTGTATCTTAGTCTTCCTTTATTTTTCTGTCTGGTGGAGTATTTCTTTATGTTCATGAATGTACAGAAGTGTTAATTGTGTGTTTTCAATTGTATAGATGTAAGTGCAAATGAGTATGTGCTTTTGCTGAGTGTGTTGGATGTATGTGCAAATATGTATGTTTTTACTTTTATATTTTTATTTAAAATTCCTCTCCTAACATAGAGGAAAGCAAAACCAGTTTTTACTTCTCCTACATACAAGTTTGTTTCACTTCAGTACAAGTCTTCTCTCTCTTTCACATATTCTGAAACTACAAGGTCTTGTTGCTTTATGTACAAGTAATATGATTTCAGATTATTTTTTCCCCGAAGCATTGTTTTGACAATATCATGTTTGTACCTTGTTAATGAGTTACAAGCTTTCTTTATTTTCTTTTCCCCTAAATACTTCTGCCTGCTTTTTGCTCCATTTTGTTCATATTCATAATTAACTTTACAGTACATGTGGTCGTCTTCCCATACTTTCTCCTTTTTAAAATTTGTTATTATTTTTAGATTATTTTTCTTTATTAATTCATTTTTTTCTTTATCTGAGACTACCATAGCATAATGAAATATTCATGTCTTTTTAACTTAGAAGTACTTCTCAGACAGATAAATAATTCATCTTATAAAAAAGTGCAAGGTAATAAGTGTATGTATGTGTTTAAATGATTACATAGATTTTCAATGCAGGTGAGAAATTATGTGAAATGACTTGTTCTCTTGTATAGGGGAACATCTATGCAAGTTATAAAAGCAGTAAATGTAGTTTATAGTTTCATGAATTTGATGAATATAGGCAAAGAATGTATGGGCCTTCATTTAGAACTTATGCTTGATATTTTTCGAGAATCTCAAATTTATAAATTAGGTCCTGTTGCAAGATCCTTTGCAGAATTAAAGATATATCAACATTATTTTTATATTAATAATTTCTGTATTTAGATTATTGCTGATTCTTCACTAATTTTCTTTTCTGCTTCTATGAGTATGTACAGGAAAACTGTCATTTTTGATACATGTACAGAAAAAGTGTCACTCTTGATACAAAAGCATATTCTCAGGAAATAGAACTTATTTTGTAATCTGTAATTGTTGCCTATGTAAAGTTAATACTTTAATTTTTGGCATTGGTAAATCATTTTATGTCAGGAACATAGCCTTAAGATTACAGTGAACCAAGCTGACAAATATATATTATCTAAATAGTATAAACATTTATACCATTCATTATCACATGGATATGTAGTATGTTATATTGCATTTCATTTCATTTGACTTAATTATTTTATGTTTTATCTTCATTATTTTTCCTTTGGACCAGTTAATAAGTTTTGGTTACCTTATTCTCCATCAACTTTATTTCATAAATCTTTAAGTTCTCAAATAGATTTTTTTTTATTTGATCAAGTTTCCCAATGGCAGACCTACTTCTTCCTCAAATATGTTTTCAGAGCAGATACTACTCTCTGTTTCATCTTGGTACTTGATCTCTCCTTGAACAACTGTAAACAAACCAACATTCGATAATTTTTTGTATGTACAAAGATACAGAAAAGCAGTGCTACTGGACAAACTTCATTAGCATCGGATAGGGGCTAGGCTGTAAAGATGTAAAGATGGCAAGCATTTTCTATTTAACTGAACAAAGAAGGTGGAGCTATCAGGACACTTTTATCTTTACACAAGGGCCAGGGAAAAATGAAGAATAAGGGAGACAAGATGCTATGGCATTTTACGGATAGGATCTGTATAGCTAGTGATGTTATTTACAATGTTTGTTTTTATTTTTTTATATATATTTTTAACTAGTGAAAAGTGTATTGATTTTGTGTATGTATTTGAGTTGCTTCTATGAAAAATTGTTTGTCATTTTGTCAGGAAGGAATGTGTTGTAGATAGCATTTTATATATACATATATATATTTCAATCTTTTCTGCTTGGGATCATAAGTAGTAGGTTTAGGTAATGAATATGAGCTTTATATTTTTCTTGCAACATTGCTGTTGGCTGATTGTTTGATCATTGTTGCTGGACACTAGCTTATAGCATGGCTGTTTTGATTGTTTATATCTTAAAGCTTAATTTATTGTGCCGGGCTCCACTCCTGCTAGTGCCATTAATTTTCCTTACATATGATTGTCTGCTTTAGAGTGATTGTCTAGTTTCCATTTTCTAAATTAATTTTGGATTTAGCTCTCCAATTGATATATATTTCTACATATATAAAACCAAATAATAGTTTGTGAAAAATCAGTAAATTAGTCATTTGCTGTCTGGTAATTCAGCAAAATTTAACAGCAGGGATGTTTCCTCATTGTGGCTATAGCCATGATGATGTTACTATGGTAATATTGATAGTTACAGGAACAAAGAACATTTTCCTTGACTTTGGATTCAGATTATGAATATTTGAGGAAATGTTACTATCGATTAACAGTGTCATTCCTGTTTAGTGGATGTATGATACCTTCAATCACTTGGTATATATTAAGAGTTGTTTTATATATTTATATAAAAAGATTTGTTTAATCTTTCTAAGCTCACTCATATTGATATTAGTGTATTCTAATGCAGGTTCTGGAACATGGATATAAATATAGGAAACAAGTTCATAAAGAGTGAGCAATAGTTTACAATAATTATTTCTTTTTCTATTCACTGGGTAGTGTGCAATGTGCTGTGGTAGTGATTGATTTATCTTTGATGTGAAAACACTAGCATTAGATGTTTAAACAGACTACTATTCTGTAATTTTCATAAACTTAGACATTGTAATCTGTAATGTAAGATAAATGTTTTACATTAATTGTTTTAAATAGAAAGTAATTTCCCTCATAAAGGACAGCCATGTGCCCAGAAACTGATGTAACTGTTAAAATGGTTGATTATCACATTTAACCATCCACCATACTATGGTTTGTTTACTATAGGATTTGCATTCCTGGAATTCAGATAATCACAAATTGTAGATGAACAAGTCTTAGAAACATTAGTCCAGAAACTTAAATAAGCATGGCTTTTGAGCAACTCTCAGATAGTTCTAGAGTTAATGACTAAGCTTACCCATTCTTTTATTTTTAGTTATGATATGACCAAGCAAGACTCACATTTGGTTTGACTTGATTCAGGTGACTTATTGCACAAGACCATTTCATTTGCACTGGGTGACAGAGACCAGCAGCAGGCAGCCAATAGAATGACAACAAAACCTTAAAACGTGTGAGCTGTCTTGGATCATTAGACATCTTAGATTTTAAGTGTTCTAAAATTTGTAACAGGACCTGTAACAATTGTGCTGTAGCCTCATTCTGTAAATCAATCACACGAGAGCTGTTTAATGTTCTTAGATATTTGAAACACTTTGTTGAACACCTAAAAATATGTATGACATTGTATATATGGCTTTTGGAGTATGATACAACATAAGTTTGTATGAAATATTGTCTCTGTAGATCAGAGTGAAAAGACTTCCAGGAAGAAAATACATCAAAGGATGTAGTAGCGTGAGTAAGAAGCAAGTGAAATAAAATAAACACATCCATATATTCACTTTACATGAAGTTGAAGTGGGATCAATAGAAAAGTTATAAATGAAACTTGAATGATAAGGAAATATCACTGAATACTTTAAGCACCAAGTTACAAGTCACTGATGATTTTTAATGTATAATAAAAGGTTTGCATTTGATGATAGTTCTACAGTGTATACTCAAAGAAGAATATTGATGAATATGTTGCACTTTTAGACTATTGCTTCTGGTTTGCATGAGTCAGAAAGCACATGGTATATTTGTTGCATAGATTTATGAAAATAGGGGGGTGTATCATCTGAATGTCACTGGTCAGCAACTAATCATTGTACACCACAACTTAACATTCTTTTATGTGATTTATTTTTCAGATTGAGTGTTGTGTAGTAATGTAATATGATGAGACAGTAATTGATAGCAGTCAGAGTTGTCCAATGATGTGTCCTCACACACAAATGCAAATGCTAGGTTTCTTCTTCGTTACAGAATTATTCCGTCAATCATATCCGAGCACAGAATCTCTGCCCACAACTGTGTCTTCCCGCTCCAAGGTTTCCACCCAACCCTCTGACCTGGAGCCCACGTACCCCCCCTTGCCACCATACCCACCCCTACCTCCTTCGGCATCTCCACCACCCTATAGTTATGTCACACGTGACCACTCCTTCGACGGTGGGAGTGGGGGACAGTACAACCAACGGGATGGGGCTGCATCCCCATCCCAGCGTGACCGTCCCCCTCCCCCATATTCTTTTGCTCCACGCACCTTACCCCATGACATGAATAAACCCCAGCCCGCCCCTAGACACCAGTTCTTTAAGGCAGAGAGTTTGACGCTAGACCATGGGGCCTCTGACCGAGACTACCTCATGATACGAGAACGTGTGGACAGGGGTGAATATCCTCTTTTGCTCTCTTACACTATGGCACACTTTATTATTTTGGCTTGTCACTATAAAACAGTTATTTTGGTTTGCTGCTGTACATTATGGGGATAGACCTGTGCCCTGGTGCATGTGTGATTTTAGAGATACATCTGTAGGAGGTATCTTAGATAACTCAAAGCAGTGTAACTGTAGAAAGTGAGTTTAGTGTAATGATTCATTCCTTTTTGATATGTATACTGGAATTATTAAAAGGAATTTCGTTTAAAAGAATATGACTTGAATACATATGAAACTCTGTGGTGTAGTGAAGGATGGTTATTTTAATTATTATCCTGGTGGAAGCTACCTACAAACATGTAAGAAATTTTCATGGTATGTATAATGACAAAAGGAATTCATGATACCTTGTGGAAAAATTACAATTTTCCCCTTCGGGACAGTACTGTAAAAGCGTAAACAATCTTTTTCTTAAGTTTTGAATTTCTAATGAATTCTGTTGAAAGCAGTGAAGAGCAAAAACATCAGGACATCATGGGCAATGTTTGTCTGTCCCCATTGAGGTAGCTCCATTAAATGGGGATTTTGATCACTTTAGATTGGCTGGTATGTTTTGAACTGCATGAATTTTTTGGCTGTAATGGTCTGGAGTAGCAGATATAATTTTTAAGATAGTACTCTACAGTACTTGCATTCTTTGTATATGCATGGTAATTTTTATGTTTGCATGGTTGGTTTTCTACCATTTTTTTGCATAGTTGATTTTTTAAAAGATAGGTTTTTATTATTTTTATCATGATGGAAGTTATTGGGAAGATCTAAATAGTCACAGGTTATGTCTTAAATGTTTGAACACGTTCTGGAAATGTTCCTTTTTATTTTGGATTTCATAAACAGTACTAGACCATTTGATTATTTGGGCATTTTAGGGTAAATATATTCTTATGAAATACTTAGTTATAATGTTGTGTGGGCATAGCATAATTTTAAGGGGGAATGATATTATTATCTTTATCTGATTGATAAGTGATATTTAAGTAAAAATACATGTAGATATACATATATAGATATGTATAAAAAAAATGCCGGAAACTTTTTGCATAAAAAAAAGAAAAAAAAATCTGCTGATATTTTTCTGTATGATAACAATTTATTTTTGATATTTTATGAGGTGATGTTTGAAAATAAAAAGATAATAGATATTTTTTATATGATTGGAAGTGATACATATATTTTTGAACAGTCTGGTATTTTTATGGGATTGAACCTAGACTTGAATGAAAATAATTTATAGCTATTTCAGATTTTGAGGAGATTAAGGTGTCTTTTTTCCAGGATTTTCAGTATCCCTAAACTAACCAACTAAACACTCAATTTTTCCCAGATTGTTACTAAGAATATCTGTTGCATGAAGGTAACAGACATTTTTGTTCCCCTTTGCCAAAAAAGTATGTATTTTAACCTGATTGCAGATTCTGCCCTTCTTAGTCAGTGTATTGCCCTTTTGACAATTTTGCATCACAGAAGGTACATTAAGTATCATTCATTACTTTGGTGGATGCAACCATGCTGAAACTCCAGACTGCTGTACAACTATGATCTGCCTATAATAAGAATGCACATGCTGCCAGAAAGCTTCTGGTTTATGTAGCCTGATAAAAGTTGACCGTCCTGAGAATGATTTTTTGCTGTTGGGAATAGGGAAGAAATGGAAATAATGTGAATGGAGAAGATTGGTGTCCTCTTGAGAGACAGTTTACTTCCTCCCTCTATGCTTCTGTCTTTCTTTCTGGTTTGAAAACTTGTAATAATGGGTATGCAGCCAGCTTGACTGAGTTTTTGTCTTGCTCAACAAGTAAATCCTTGTTTGGTCTTAGCTTCGGTACTTTGCAGCCTCACAATTTACTTCAAATTTCTAGTGTGGTGTGGGATTTAGGTTTTGTGCTGTTGTGGTATTGAGATCAGAAGTGTTTTCACTCTTTTTTTTTTCTCATTAAGTTCTTGGTTCCTGCTCTCATGCATATGGATATAGTAAGGTGAAAATTATTCAAGGATGATTATTTTTATTTTTGCATATCATAAAACAATCATCATTAGAGTAACCCATTCCATCACTCAGTACCCATTATTATGTAAAACCTCAGTTCATACCCAACAGTTCATGTCTCAACTGTCTTCATGTTTTGTTCGCGTTGGAATTTACTGGAGTGCAGAACTGCAGAAGTTAATGTTATTACTTTTTGTTGGTATGGGTAAATTGTCTGCTTGCTACATTAGATGGTTTATCACAGGATGAAAGGTTCTTAGTGTTTTAGGTGAATTCCTTTGCTTCTCATAAGTAAACCTTCAGTTGGCATTATCGTGGTTGGTAGTGGAGTTATGATGTTTGTTATTTCTTGTTGGTTCAAAAAATAGATTTGGCAGGTGGCAGTTAACCAAAGAGATGATTAGTCTCAAGTATTTGATATAACATGTTTGTTTGAGAGTGATACCATTTGCTGACATACTACTAAAAAGGAGGGAAATGTAGTGATCTTAAAGTATTTAAAGCTGATTTGAAGATCAGAATCCAAATTTTTACCTATAGGTAAGCCTCCTCCTCATTTGCAGCTAAAACCATAGTATACATGAATTAGGTCCCACACACTGTGAAACTCTGTAAAGAGGAACCTCTGAACTTTAGTCCATACCTGCATCCTCTTGACTCAACTGATTCAAAACAGTAAAAGAAGTTGGGACTAAGAAATGCTTTGTTTGGACAGTTCTGGTTGAGCAAACAATGTTTTATGTATTGCTATGATGAAGTCATTATGGATTTGTATTCTTATTTGTTTGAAAGACAGAAGCATGGTGGTACCAGGATCAGAAGAGTATAAGAAGGGACATGCAAATTTTTACTAAAGATTTGAATTTTAGATACTGCCTGACAAACGGAGGGTCATTGTCCTTTGAAGTGTTAAAGCAAGCCCTGACAGTATTGGCCAGTTTATTTATTTGTTTATATGAAAGATATGTTGAAGAGCCTAACCTTTTGATGATGATAATTTTACATATATGCATGCTATGTCTGAGGAGGTGTTGTTTTATATATTTTCTTTACACATAGATGGCTCAAGAAGTGCTTAGTCATCAAGGAGTTAATTGCTAGCCTTACCTAACCACATCTATTTCTCCCATTCTTTGAAGTTTTAGTAATGAAAGTTCTTATTTTTATGAATATTGTTATTGCCGATAACAATAATAATGATGATTTAAAAAATCTGATAATTATGATGATGATGATTAAAAGGATAAAAACATTTATAATATTGGTAAAACCAATAGATGTGTTTTTTTTCCAATAAGTTAAGAGGGGTGGGGCAAACAATTGAAGTCTGATAGGCCTAGAAATTGATTTTTTGTTAACTAAGTACTTTTGAAGCCAATCTGTGTATAAATGAAAATAACAAAACAAAACTGTGATGGACAGTATATGTACCTGGTGCCAGTGGGTTAAGAATATGCTGCAGCCTCTCAACCGTGTAGCTGGGATAATTTTGTATGTTAATTTTTCTTTGCTTTTGGAGAATTGATATGCAAGCCAGAAAGTGTTTGAGAATATTTTAGCAATAATAATGTGAAGACAATTTGGTATGTACATCCCCGTAGATGCCATTGGTAATGCATAGATATATACAAATAGAAATATCTTTGTTGATTTGAGATATTTTTAAAATGTGCTTTAAATCAAAGAGAATTCCTTGTTTACAAATGATATGCTTGACGAACTTTGAAGAAATTGTCAGGGTTTGTTTTATGTCAGTACCTATCAGGCTCCCGGATATGATTATTACTTTTGAATCTTTAATGGTGTAAGATAGAAACACTATTTACAGTATAAACTTCTGCAATTCTGTCTGTTAGTTCATCATTTGTAAGAAATGATAAGATCAAATAAGACTGTATCAGATGGGAACTCCTCTTGTAGATGTCAGCATTCTGGAATGGATGTCAGAAATCAAACTTGATTGTCATCTCTCCTAGGGCAGGGTTGTCTATCCCCTCAGGAGACTTGGGTTTGGAGGTAGCATCTGTAAGAACAGATTAACTTGCCTCTCATAGACATGAGGAAAGTCTCTAGTGTTTCCTTTTTGAAATCTGCTTATGGACTTGTCTTATTATCGTCCCTGTATATCAAGCCTGGAAGGCGACTTTGTAGAGGAAAGTTGCAACCCTGGGGTGCTGCACCCCTTTGGCTTCACTTGGATTACTTTACAGTGTTCCTTGTCTTTAGTTGAATCTCATGATCCTTTGGTCAATACTTTATCTTCATTGCAAAAGTAAGGGAGTGCCTGCCCCCCAGAGTCACTGATCAGTAGTTTCCAACTTCAAGAACCCTTCATCACCCCAGAGGAAGAGTACAACTAGCTGTAAGCTGTTGGTCAAGTTACCAATTTAATGTAATTCAGCTGAAACTAGTTTCTGTGGGTGTGAACAAAGGTCCTTGAGCAAGGTAATTGTTCAAATGTGTGCGGGTGAGGTAGTAATGTGGGTGGTGTGTGGTTGGTGGTCCCACAGGTGGTCTACAGGTGTACCCCCCTCCCACGACCCCCCCTGAGCCGGCCCCCCCAGATCGTGAGTGTGTGGAGGGCCCCCCACGCCGTTTGGTGAAGGCCACCACACTCCCCACACCCACTCTGCACTCCGCAACATCCCGCACCTCCCTCGATGACCTCACATGTAACGTACACTATAGTGCGTTCACCAAAGATATGTTCCTTCTATAAGTAGACTCACAGCCAATCAGCACCCAAGATTGGAATGTATAATGCACAAATTATTTGTCTTGTGAAGTCAGGTTTTGCTTGTGATTAGAAATAGAAACCTGGTCTGCTACATTTTCTTCCAGATTTCTAAATTGATTTAGTACCATGGTCATCTGACAATAATCATGGTTTAAAATCATATACCTATTAAATTCTGTCATTTAATAGAGTAGTTGGCCTTTTACCTTGAAGACCAATATAGACA